TCTATTAGGTCCCAGAGGCAGCCAACCAACGGCTCATTGCTGACCCAAGAGAAGAAGCCAAAATTCAAGAATGTTAATTATTTGAAAAATTATCCAAAACTCAAAAGTGTTAGTTAGTCCACGAATTCTTAAAAACTAGTACGTTTTGATGTTGTTACTGGAAATAGATGAAATGTGTTCAAATTGGAATCTAAACTATATGAATCATTTGGTAAGGTAAATGTGTGTTTAAAGAAGCCAAAAAAAAAAAAGCCAAAATTAAAAAATGTTAGTTGAACAGCTGAAGCCGCACATGTTCTTGCAATGCAACCTGTGTTCCCAGGAATCTGTCTCGTACAAGTTAGAGAATCAAACCAAAGCAAGATGCTGAAGAAGAAACCAAGCCAAGTTGTTGAACGAACCTGAGGAGAGACCAAAACTACTTGAAGCAGCTTACTCCTCGCATCTCCCTTGACTCCTTCTCCCGCCCCACGAGGCAGAGATGGGATCTGGGAGGAGGACAGAGAGAGCCTGTGCTGAAGAAGAGACTGGCCTCGAAGAAATAACGGCCTTCGAGATTGACTTCGAAGCAACAACGGCGCTATGACCACGCTACGGCCCCACCGAACGATTTGGGCCTGAATCGTCTACCCTTAGGCCCATTTATCTTCACTTCTTAGGCCCATTTAAAACTCTTTTCAGGAGAGTCGCAATACCTGAAATAACATTGAGACGAGGTCTTGCCTTCTAAACAACTTCACAAAGACATTTTGGTAATCTTTCGTATGTAACTACACTATACATACGGGTTGAACAAACCGTTATATAATGACTCCTGTACATTAAACACAATCCACAAATAAAACACACATTAATAAATCCATCACGCGAGGCAGCGTCATTATTACATAAGCCAAAGTAAAACACCACGCATTAGTGTTACGATTACATCAAAAGATAATCATTAAGTGCAACACACTATAAATCGATCGACCAAGCAGATCAGTGGCATGCCGTATCCTCGAAGATTTGAACTTCGGATCCATTTGGGAAAATAGGAAGAASCCTCCTAAGCACTGTGGTTCCTTCGTTCATCGACCACCTACAAACAAGATCCGTGGGATGATACTTGGATTATAGTAATAGATTTGACAACAACTTATAAGCACTACATAACCACATTAGCCATCTACTAGGGAGTCTAAAAGAACCACCTAAGCAATAAGAATAAATGAGCTCACGCATCTCAAACCTTATCATAATTATAGTTTTACTGTGATGGGTTACTCAAATAAAGTTAACTCACCTATATCGTGAGATATGGTGGATGAAAATCGCCATTTGCATTTTCGCAAACTCGGCTCCAAGACATAATCTCGTACCGGCACCAAATGGCATATAGGTTTTTGATACAGTAGCGTTCAATTCGTTTCCCTGATATCAGACATGTATTTACTACAGTTAGTGACTGAATACCTTCCACTGCCATGGATTAAATTCAAAAGGGTTCTCGTAGTATTGTTCGTTAAAATGAGCAAGCAATTACAAGCCATTAAATTCAAAAGGGTTCTCGTAGTATAGTTCGTTACACCACCTTGCTCTGATGTTGTAA